TCAGTGCACTCGGCTAAAGCCCCGGTACTCAATAACTGTGCCTAGGCATCCCACTCCTTTGGAGCACATAGAAATTACTACGAACATGGTGTTGAGAATTCTTCTCGAGTTGGATCCGAACGCTTCGCCAGGCCCTGATGAATTAGATTTTCTGTTCTTGAAGACAGTAGCTGAGTATATCGCTGAGCCAATCTGCCAACTGTTTCGGCACTACCTGGAGGGCTGCACAATCTTGAACGCCTACCGCTTGATTAGAAAGCACATATTGTGAAGCCAATCTACAAAGGAGGAAACCGAGAGGATTCTGCGAATTACAGACCGATCTGCTTGAGGTCGAGCATTTGTAAGACAATGGAAAAGATTTTTAAAAGAGCCCTTCAGCTTTATCTCAAGACGACATCATTACTACTGCTTAGCACGGTTTCCGAAGAGCGCGCGCTTGTATCATTAATCTACTTGTTGCTCGCGAGAAGTGGGCAAAGTCAGTGGATTCCGGTAATCGCCTAGATGTTGTTTTTGTTGATTTCAGCAAATCATTTGTTAGGGTTTCACATGAACGGCTCCTTATCAAGCTCCGAAAGACTGGCATCGGTGGCAATGTTCTTTCGTGGATCGCTGATTTCCTGGTTGGTTGTGCTATGTAGGTGAAGATCAACGAGGTTCTTTCTGGGCCTGCCTTCATTGTAGGTGGAAGAATTATCATGAAAACCGCAGCCTGCATGTCAAGATCATAGTCCCATGACCATATCATCTGCGCCTTCTGCTGAGATCCCGGAAAGCCCATTATTTGTCTACCCCATGCGATTAACTATGCAAAGCTCCATGACATAGAGACTTGTTCCTGATAACCTTATCTGACACCTGCTCCTACGGGCTACTGTGCGATTCGTCGTTTTCTTAACCATGTCTACGTGGTTTCATCCCAATCCCGCTGTAAGATACGATTGCGCTGGTGCTGTGTAACATGCCCAGGTGTCCCACCACTCTGCATGGATTTGCTCCTATCCCATACCGGCTGTGACGATCGTGCACTCCCCGCCGTGCTACTAACACCAAGAGTATCCAGGCCCTTGTCGGTTTTTGATCCCATATCCGCAACGAGACGCGTTATTCTCATTCCACTTGAATGTAATGACACGTTGTATGTTCTTGTGCGCCGTGCAGCAGACCAATGGAAAATAAGATTACGGACAACTTAAAAAGAACGCTCGTATTCCTCTCTTTGAATCTGTGCTGTGTGCCCTGCTGTACGGTAGCAAATGCGTTGACGCTATTTCATTGCGTAACTGTACGAAGATCCGGTTGTTTCAGGATTGAACGGGCACTGTTGAGGCAAGTAAATTTGTATTTGAGTTCTATTTTAATAGTACCGTACTTAGCATCTCGGCTTCCTTTCTTGGCTGGACCCGGGAGTTTTTTACGAGTCACTCGTGCCCCAAGCGAATCTGTCGCTTACACTCATGACCAATGGGGTTCTACAGGGCTCCATCCTTGGTCCCGAAGTTTACAAAATCGTCATCAATGACCTTCCAGAGATGCTTCAAACTGACCGTCTGAGCAACGCTGATGATCTCAAACTATGGTCAGAAGTGTGTAGGCCTGAAGATTCGGACAAATTACAGCTAACGGTTGATCTGCTGCACGACTGGTGTGTGAAGTGGTAGTTACCTATCGACCATGAGAAATACTGTGTTCTTCCAGTCCCTACTCCAGTACCTTTCGGCACCTACCACATTGGTTTTCTGTTGAGCAATACGGCTTCTGAGAAGGACTTAGGTGTGATTGCATCCCTAAGTTGAAAACCATCCCGGATACGTTGCGGAAAGTACCCCACACTAACAGGTACTCTGCGTAATACGGAGGTCATTTTCAAAAATTACGCCTGAGATCTCCAAGCTCCCGTTTCCTTCTCAGGTCCGTTCAATATTGGAATATGGACTACCCGCTTTGCATCCTCTCACAAAGTTTGAGTGCGCTTTACTCGAGAAGCTTCAGCGGCGTGGATCCAAAACTGTATTAGTGTTGCGTGAATTGTCTTATCTCCTTCGACTTCTGCGAATGAACTTGTTCTCTTTGGATTATCATCGTGGCCGTAGGGATCTGATATACACAAGACGCATCCTAATAGTGACTTGGGGACGGAGGTGCAAGAGTTCATCCAACTCAATGTAGATAACCCGACACTGGGTCAGAGTTGGAAAGTGTTTAAACCGAGGAGGTTCCGCGTCCGCTCCGACATCATGTTACCTACCTGGGTCGCGAATCAATGGAACAACCACCCGGAATATGTTGTCAGTGCCCATTCAGAGGCATGTTTCACGCAGCAGTTGGATGACTACATGCTGAATACGCCTGGATTCCACTGTTATTACTGCAGCTGTGCTGATCCCTTGGTGAACACAGGTTAGCAAGGACACGCGTTATCCAGCAAGTGAATGGGAGATGAAGGATCTGACACGAGTCATTTCCAATCTGCTCTCTACAATACTATGAAACTATGAAACCGACTGTCTCGACAACGGCGTCGACTATGGAATGCGTTCCTCCTGTCTGGCTCTGCCGATGAATATGAGGCATACAAGCGACAACGAAACTTGTGCAACAGCACAAAGACGCGAAAACGCCGTCAGTTTGAGGAGCAGCTTGCTTGCTCAGCTAAAACTGCTCCGAAGCGCATATTTGCGTACGTGAAGCGACGCCTGAAGTCTGCAGGTGATGTGCCGGTGCTAGTGGGTTCGGACGGACAACCACTAAGTTCAAGCACCGAGCGTGCGTCCGCATTAGCGGCGCACTTCGCTTCTGTATTCGCAACTAACCAAACCTGCGCGCCAAGCTCTGCCGTCGCCGCACCGACTGAGCTAACCGACTTGATCTGCGACGTCGCGGAGGTACATGGGCTAGTCAGCTGCCTAGACAGCACGAAGCCAGCTGGACCGGATGGTCGCCATCCGCTGATACTCAAGTCCTTGTCAGCTGTGATCTCACCTGCTGTAACCGACCTGTTCAACCGATCCCTGTCCATAGGCTGCGTGCCTTGTGACTGGAAATGCGCCGTTGTCAAACTGATTCCAAAAGGCGGTGACACAAGCAAAGTGGAGAATTACCGCCCTATTTGTTTGACCGCAGTATTGTCGAAAGTTCTGGAGAAGATTGTGAAGAAGAGACTGCTCCAGCTACTGGAGACCAACTCTCTCCTGACGCCTGCACAGCATGGTTTCGTGAGAGGCCGCTCGTGCATCACTAACCTGCTGCTAACATGGCATGAATGGTTGCAAGCAGTAAACCAACGTAAGTCAGTCGACGTGGTATACGTCGATTTCAGTAAGGCCTTCGACAGAGTGAATCACGAGATCCTCCTTCAGAAACTGAGGGAGTGCGGAGTCGGAGGCTCGCTGCACCAATGGAACCGTAACTTCTTAGTTGGACGGAAGTGGAGGGTGCAAGTCGACAGCCACCTGACCGACTGGTACCCGTCGACGAGCGGCGTTCCTCAGGGGAGGGTGCTTGGCCCCATTCTCTTCCTGATTCACATCAACGACGTGCCAAATCTCCTTCGGTCGCCGTGTGCCTTGTTCGCGGATGACCTGAAGCTATGGAGGGTGATCCATACGTCGGACGACTTTGAGATACTTCCGCAGGACCTCGACCGCCTCTCCATGTGGTCTGCCGAAGTAAGTTTGCCTATCAACTCGGCAAAATCGCTACTTCTGTGCCTCGGTAAAGGTGGAGCGGGCCGATCGTACACTCTCGACGGCCAAGTTCTACACCCGACGCATTGCGTCAGAGACCTTGGCGTTATACAACGTTACGACATGAAGTCACTGGACAACACGGACAATATGTATCGCACAGCATTGCGTTCGCTGTGGGCGCTGAAACGTAGCTTCTGCACCTGGTCGGAAGAGATTGCCACTCGTCTCTTCACATCCATTGTACGACCGGTGCTAGAATACGGCTCACCCGCCTACTGTCCGTTGACGAAAGGCGAGATACACAAGCTCGAAAGAGTACAACACATAGCCACACGGCTCATTCCCGGTCTTCAGGGTGTGCCGTATGAAGAAAGATGCAGACAATTGGGTCTGTATACTCTAGCCTACCGCCGCGTGCGAGTGGACCTCATCATGACCCATCGGGTATTGCATCTGGGTGCTTATCCGATGCTGAGGCCACTGCTCCATGTCCGTGCGTCAAGCAGCACACGAGGTCACCAGTACAAACTGGTAGTCCCTGACCTCAAGTGGATAGCTCATCCCTTGTGTCTTGAGCGGCGAGTGTTGAACATGTGGAACCGTTTGCCCTCGCGGATAGTAGAAGCGAACTCGGTGTCGGAGTTCAAACGATTCCTGGACGCGCACTTTGCGGATGCCAGATTCGACGAAGCCTTCACAGGAAACTGACGAAGGAATGGTTCAATGATTATAACTCATGGAGCCCGTTAATCCACCAACTGCAGCTTCCGAAACGATGCCCATCCGTAATAGGCGGCGGAGCTGGTGAAGGACTCCATGTGGTTCATCCAAGAATACATCGTAAGTACATGGAGATTTTTTCTATGCTTGTAAATATTTTACTTTTTTCACCTGGGCTAGCTCACTACTACAGGTAACACTGTGTCAGTGGGACATGTCCTACATTGAGATATAGCTACATGGATGTTCAACATCTTTCTCGCTATCATGACAGTAAAGTAAAGTAAAGTAAAGGTTATCGATCATGCACGGACAAGTGCCAACCAGTCCGGAATGCATCACTGGTACGCTATGTGGATCCTCAATGTCACGGTAAGAGCAAGTCAAACATTAAATAAGGTGTGCTGGTTCCACAGTGATGTGTGGATAAAGCTGAAATAAAGTGAGAAAGTCTAGTCGAACGGGGGAAGAAACACACTGTCCACGAGGAATGAACTGGATTTCAGAGTTAAATCGATCGCAGAAAATGAAATCGTACTGATAAAATACAGAAATGGGTCACGTCCACGCGGGAATAATGTTACTCACCGCGTGAATATTCCACATCCTGATAGAATAGTGAATCACCCAGCTTGAAAGTTGCGATCGACTTGCCCTCCCACTGGAACAAGCAGAGCTGCCCATTATTGGATGCAACAAACAGTAGGTCATTGAAAGAACA